AAATCTACTACTGGAACAGGACATGAACGCATGGCCAATCATAGATCCCCTTCCCTCTTATGGCAGAGGGAGGGATGCCGCTGGTGGAAGATACAGCAGTCTCATTGGAGGATCAAACCTCACCGATGTTATCATCACAGGTCTGCTGCAACCTTGCTTCTTCTAATCTCCAAGAAACTACACAGATTATGATTCTTCTCTCCCAAATTGCAGGGGACAATGGAACCATCGATGGGCAGGGCGCCTTCTGGTGGTCCAAGTTCCATGGCCACAAGCTCAAGTACACGCGAGGCTACCTCATCGAGCTGATGCACTCCGACCAGATCTTTATATCCAACCTCACACTCCTGAATTCTCCTTCGTGGAACATCCATCCGGTCTACAGCAGGTCTGTTCTGTTCATCTCCTCAGCTAAATTCCCTAAACATTTCTATGGTTTGCGACTGAAAGCAGTCGATCGATGCAGTAACATCGTTGTTTCCGGGATCACGATCCTTGCGCCGGTTCATTCTCCCAACACTGATGGGATCAACCCGGGTAGGCACTCGTGCTGCTCCTACCACTTGTTTGCAGAAATGTCAGGCTCTCATGTGCTTCTTGATGTCGCAGATTCCTGCTCCAATGTGCGGATAGAGGACTGCTACATCGTCTCAGGCGACGACTGCGTCGCGATAAAGAGCGGGTGGGACGAGTACGGCATCGCCTACGGCATGCCGAGCCAGCACATAGTCATTAGACGGCTGACGTGCATCTCGCCGACCAGCGCGGTGATCGCGCTGGGTAGCGAGATGTCCGGGGGGATCCAGGACGTGAGGGCGGAGGACATCACCGCCATCAACTCGGAATCCGGCGTCCGGATTAAGACGGCGGTCGGAAGGGGCGCTTACGTGAAGGATGTGTACGTGCGACGGATGTACCTGAGCACGATGAAGTGGGTGTTCTGGATGACGGGCAACTACAAGTCCCACCCGGACGACAAGTTCGACCCCAACGCGATCCCTGTAGTGGACGGGATCAGCTACAGCGAGGTGACGGCGTACAACGTGACCATGGCGGCGAGGCTGGAGGGGATCCCCAACGCGCCCTTCACCGGCATCTGCATCTCCAACGTCACCGTGGAGTTGAGGAAGGCGAGGAAGCTACCGTGGTACTGCGCCGACGTCGAAGGGGTCTCGAGTGGGGTGTCGCCTGCGGCTTGTGCGTCGCTGGCGGATCAGGGTGACGGAGCTCAGCCGTGTCCGTTCCCCACCGACGCCTCGCCCATGGACGACGTCCAACTCCAGGAGTGCACGTACGTGAAAGCCATCAGTGCTTGACGTGTATGCTGCGGCTTCCTCATGCTTGATGTTGCCATGAAGGTCTTGCAACAGTCAACT